TCAACCTAATAAAAGTGATCCATGAGGTTAATTGACATGCTAATTACAATAATCTTGCATACCGTACAACGAGCCTCATTTTAAAATTAGATTGATAAGACTGAAAGATCATTAATGAACAATGAGAAAATGATAATCCTCAGTATACTGTGCGGAATGGCTTTGCTGGAATATAAATGATTTTTGGTGAGTTAAGCCTTTTTTGGCCTTCTGAAGATGAATATCTCACTTCTATGATGACAGAACCAAAATAAATGAAAAAGCGAATCACATTGTTTTTTGGAGGGAAATGACGCTGCGTGTTATCGAATATTCTTGATAAAAGTGGCAAGAGCTTATGCGACCAATACAATAAATCTTACGTAGTTCTCAGTTTGCTAGCCTTTTTTCGATTTTTGCGTCCACAAATGGCAATTAAACCATGACGAAATCCTGCAACTTTTCCAAAGTCTAAAAATCATCATTGAGAATTTGGTTTTAACAAAGAGCCTTTGATTTTAGTGCTCGCTGCAGTCAGACTGCATCGCAGAAAAACAATGTTCGTTTTGATGAGCGAATTTTCGCTGATCAAAATAGGTAAGTTTAAGTTGGGATTTACCTAATTCTTATGACCACGTATAAAAGAATTAGACAAGTAATTTGAGCCTACTATAGTAAACAAAAAAAGAGAAGGAATAAATATTACCGCGAGTAAGAAAAAATGAGGTCACCCAACAGGTTGTTCTACCAATTTTACAACTGGATTACTTTCTGCAAATATTATGGCAGGGAGAATTGCTAAAAAGAAATTTTCTAAAATGCATTACTAGATATAAATGAATAGACAAAACTCACTCTGCAATTTGAATTGATCACTATGAATTCAAATCCCATGGCAAAATCGTATTCGTTCCCCCCGCTGGCACGAAAGGAGACATACATATAATCTTGACAAAATTCATTTCCAAAACTTATTGATTCCAGCATAACAATTGATCGCGATACTGTAATCGATGCTCAAAGGGGTAATCTGTGGGATCTTCCTCACACGTTCCTTGTAGAGGAAAAGAGAAGCTACGACTACCAATCTACTTATTCTGATGGGTCGCTTGTGTGGACAAATGCCGTTCCAGTATGTTTGCCTCGCTTCTGATAAAGAAGTCCAATGCTGATATTTCTTTCTACAGCCGCTGAAAGAGGATGAAACTCAGAAGAGCGAAGTAGCGGCAGGTTTGTCCTCTGTTGATTTCGTTACCTAAGCGCAGACTCAAAAATACCAAAAGTTGAGTAATCTAAGTATCTCAATTTGGCCCGGAATATCCTCAGACAAAGCGTAAATGTCGTCCTTCTTTCCTATTTAATCAAGTTGTAAAGAAATAAATGGCGGTTTACTTTCCTCTCATATTATTATAATTTGTTGCAATGTTATATCATATAAAAGTATGTCTTTCTCACTATTTCCCCATAATATTTTTTCATAACATTCCAAAATTTTGGATGATAGGAATAAACCCGATCGCCACTTAATTTTTTCTGAAATGCGAGTAGCTCGAAAATCTATAAAGCCACCTAGCAGAGTGATTGGGTACGCAGTATAAAATGTAGAGTCATACGCATTTTGCCTGAGTGGTGTGTTGTTATAAATGTCATGGTGACCACAGATATCCCTTCTCCATGGTAAAACCATTTCGTACGGTAGACATAAATTTTCAGAATTTTTCCTTTTTCTGAAGATCAGTGATTTTTTACCATCGTAATAGTTGAACGAGCTTGGTTACGAAGCTTTCTCATCCTCCATATTCGCGAAACCTGTCGCCAACAGATTTCCAGTTTTAAAAGATCTGGATAACTTTTTGCAAGAAAATACCTTCACCAATGCAGATGCCATCAAAATTGCCTTCAACATTTTTGTCGCTTCCAGGGCCAAAGATTTCTAGTACAAATAAGAAAGATTTTGCAATGATGCATATTCTGATTACAAAACTTGTGTTTGAGCTGAGATATGTGTATTTAAGGTGGTTAAAGACCGCCATCTACTTCTTTGCAACCTAGTATGTCAGAGCGAAACCAGGCAGTAGTGCGATCATTTTGCTATGCCTCGAATCAAACGCAAAAAAAGTTGAT